TTTTTAACACTCCAGTGCCCCGCAGTGCGCCAAGGAATCTCCGCGTCTACGACCCCACCACCAGCACCCTGAGCGTGAGTTGGGATCATGCCGACGGGCCCGTCCAACAATATCGCATCGTCTACGCCCCCACCACCGGAGATCCCATCGAGGAAAATGTGAGTATCTAAGTTGCTGGGTGACATAGTACCAACCGGGCTTCCAAAGGCTTCACCTTGTCTGTGGTCATGGGGTGGACATATGCGTGCTTAACCATACTTGTGTTCTTGTGTACCTGTTTTACACCATCTGCAGCCCTGCCCCAAATTTCAAGGATGTATCAGTTGCATCCTCACCAAAAAAGACCAATGTCATGATTCATTGCGCCCCAAGTTAATTTTTGGGAGACAAGTTAGTAAGACCAAGACTACAAGTAGAATCTTGTACCACAATTGCATTCTTGGTATAAACAAACACCAAGTCTTTGGTTCCTTATGCTACAGTAGCACTGCATCGCCACATAAACTATATTTTAGAAGTACTTTTTACAAATTACTGAAACCTAAAAAGTCATATTGTCTTATAAAAAGCTCACACATTTTTAATGAATACCTCTTGTTCACCAAACTCTCAGGTATCTGTCCCTGGGAACAGAAACAGCGTCATCCTGCAGAACCTGCAGCCAGACACCCCCTACACCATCACCGTGGTGCCCATATACGCTGACGGCCCAGGAGGCGAGCTCACAGGACCGGGCCGTACAGGTAACTGGCCCTTAATGCTACATGCTGTTAGAGGGTTCTCCAACCCTAGGAACGCTGAGGAACCTCACCACTTCATGAACTGAACATCCGTCTGACTCACGGGTACAAAGGGAGACGATTGTCTTCCAGTCATCCATTCTCATCCATGTCGTTTGGATGAGCCGTTTGCGGAACTCATGCCATAGCTACTTAAGGCAAATACATATGAGAAGACAGAAGATTCAGGCCTGCCACTGCAAAAAAGTGGAGCAGAAGCCAGGCTCCCTGTTCTATGTATATTTTTATTGAAAGATGATTGCAGGGTCTTGTCTCTCCTGCCTTTCAGTCGGCCTCCTGGAGCCCCGAAACCTGCGTGTCTCTGACGAGTGGTATACACGCTTCCGCGTGTCCTGGGACCCTGCACCCTCCCGCGTCATTGGTTACAAGATGATCTACCAGCCCCAAGGTAAACTTAGCGGTCAAGCACCTGGGAACACTTCAACTGCTTTCAATCTTTTATCCGCTAGGAATCAATCATGCCAGTGAATTATTCATTCTTTTGTATCTTCAAATATTTTTTTTTAGCAGGGACAAATGTGTGACTCTACAATGTTTTGCACTCCCAGATAAGGACGAGACAATGGAGGTATTTGTTGGGGACGTGACTTCGTACATCCTCCACAATTTGCAACCTGGGACCACATATGACCTCAAGGTCTACGCCCAGTATGACGCTGGTCTGAGTGGAGCCTTAGTTGGACAAGGAACGACATGTATGTAGCTTCGATCTTGGAGTTCAACTCATTCTTAAATACTTACTGCTTTGCCATGGTTATCATTAAATCCAATCATAAAACGAACACTTCCTTTACCCACCAGACTCACTATGATTATATACAGTATGCTTGAAGGCTTATGCTAAGCTACCATCTTGCCTCCCTTCTCCACAGTGTACTTGAACGTCACTGACCTAGTGACGTACAACGTTGGCTATGACAGGTTCTGCATCAGATGGACGCCCCACAGAGCAGCCACCTCGTACAGAATCAAGCTCAACCCCTTTGACCGTAAGTAGAGCTGACCTGCCTCCATCCACCTGGGCATGAAAACATACTGATGTGTAAAGTCTTGGTTAGAAATGAGAAAATTGGTGGAACATTATTTAGTTCTCGGTGGAGTGTTTTATTCAGCATTTAAGGTAGTCAGTGATATGTTTTTCTAGTGTTAGAAAATTGGTCATCCATCATGTGTGGCTTACAAACTGAAACCAGAAAACTCTGAATATGGTTTAATTTTGCCCCTTTCTGGTCACCCTCGAGCATAATCAGGTCATTTAAGCAAATGGTTCCTCTACCAGGGATGAATTTTGTTCCTGGCTGAAATAGCTTGGCTTCTTTAAGTACCACTTAGTCATACTGTACACATTAATACAAGCAAGAGCTGTTGGAAGCTTTTGGTCTGTATATGGCAGTCATTATTGTTCACCACATCAAGCTCATTTGGGTAGCGCAAGAAGGCAAACTTTCCGTAAAGGTAAATTATCCACTGAATCGAGGACATGTGTGATTTTATGCTCAAGTGTGGGGAAACAAGTCACGTAGTTGTAGGAGGATTTTTTTGATGAAAAGGAGAGGCAGTATAGTTTCTTGAGCGATGACTCTATCTTCAAATGTGGGACTGTGTTTGGTCTGCTGTGTTTGTAGCGTCGAAGCGAGGCCAGCAGGAGATCACTGTCACGGGCTCCGAGAGCCAGAACTGTTTCGAAGGCCTCTCCCCGGACTCCTTGTACAATGCCACCGTCTTTGCTCAGACGCCCAACCTGGAGGGCCCTGGAGTGAGCGCTAAGGAGCGGACCTGTGAGTGCCCGAGTCTCTCGCTCCACCGCTGGTTCATATCCACGCCGACGAGAGCACCTCCAGTCAATATGGTCTGATTATAACATTAAGCCATGTTTGTTTTGATTTTGTTATTCGTCGTAGTGGTGAAGCCCACAGAACCTCCAACGCTGCCCCCAACTCCGCCCCCACCTCCCACAATCCCTCCTGCTATGGAAGGTAAGGACACTGTGTTCCTTTAGTTTATGACATTGGTGGGCCTACACTGAGGCTTAGCCACAGGGGGAATCCATTAGAACATTCCATACAGCACTGGTATCCTTCAGGGGGAGCAGAGACGGCCCCCAATAGCACCCCGCTGACAGGACGGGGGGCCCATCTGTCAGTCCTATCTGCCTACTGAAGGCTAAGCAGTATGGAGCCTGCTGGGCTAATGGATTCAAAATGCTACGTGCGGTTAACCCCGGGCTATCAAGCACAAGCCAGTCCTGCAAGCATTCTGACAAAAATGTGCAATTTTACATGCAGGATTAATGCACGTGGTCCTTCAGGGAAGGAAGACGCTGTGTATGTTGTAGCTGACTTGGAGCTGTAGTTTGTTGCTATTGCACAATGTTAAAAAATGAACTGAACACTAAACGGTAACCTTGACAGTCAGTGAAATTTGAATTATTGATTCATCTTCAACGACGTCAGTTATCACTACGTAATGAGAATTCATTGTCATCATTATTTTCTCTTCAATTTTCAGTGTGTAAAGGTGCCAAGGCCGATCTGGTGTTCCTCATCGATGGGTCATGGAGTATTGGAGACGACAACTTCAACAAAGTTTTGAATTTTGTGTTCAGCACCATCGGCGCCCTCGATATCGTAAGCCCTCAAGGAATGCAGGTGTGTGGAGATGTCTTTCTTGGAAGCATTCACCTTTCGTATGGGGGGGGGGTGGTCTGTAACAGGTAGTAGTGGAGGATTGTTAAGCAATTCCACGAAAGCTTTGGCAGATAAAGTATGGCTACTGTGACTCATTGCCTTTGACTTCTTGGCTTGCAGATATCTTTCGTGCAGTACAGCGACGACGCCAAGACAGAGTTCAAACTCAACACCTACCATAACAAGGGGACTGTGTTAGCCGCCCTGCAACTTGTCCGTTACAGAGGAGGAAACACCAAAACAGGTACCCCCACCCCCAGGGTCCTGCCTCATGTAGTTGTAATAGATCTCCATGTGCTCCTTGGCCACATGGAGAATGTGTTACAGGCCAGCCACCCATATGATACCTGCTGGTTTCTTCACGTCCTGTACAGCTATCTAGTGCTCCCTTTAAAATGACACAGTTCGGTTCTGCACTCATTGGGTCTGTCTAATCTAGGGGTGGCCCTCAAACACGTTGGTGAGAAGGTCCTCACCCCAGACAACGGCATGCGGAGAAACGTGCCCAAGGTCTTGGTGGTTGTCACAGACGGCCGCTCTCAAGACGAAGTGAAGAAGAGTGCTTCGACGCTGCAGCATATGGGTGAGTGCGTAAGGCCCTCTCCACATGCCCAACCCCCCCCCCCCGGGATGTCAGTCGGGAGAGATCTGTAAGTGGAGTCTTGCTCTTCCAGGTTACAGCCTGTTCGTCATTGGCGTGGCTGATGTGGATTTCGCCGAGTTGCGTAATATCGGCAGCAAGCCGAGCGAACGGCACGTCTTCATTGTAGACGATTTCGACGCCTTCGCAAAGATTCAGGATAATCTCATCACGTTCATCTGCGAAACGGCTACATCCAGTAAGACAGGCCTTACCTCTGTATTTTAAACCTTTCTCCCAGAGATTGTCATGGTTTCTCAGGCTCTACCTCGTAAAGTAATGCACCATCTTTTACTTCTACCTCAGCTTGTCCTTTGATTTTCCTGGATGGATTTACATCACCGGGTAAGAAGACCATTTATTTCCTAAAGAATTCAGTAGGCCTAAGGCTGTACAGCTGGCAGTTTGCTGGGCTGGCATGTTTGTCTATAGCTTGGGGATTGTTTGAGAGTTGACGTATGTCCATTGAGGGGGGAAGTGCAAAAATAATCAGAAAGAAATGTGATCAATTGTTTGAGGAGCAATGAACCACTTACAGTAGTGGGTCTTGTCTTGTTTTAGTAACAATTCTACATACAGCCTGTCACTTTAACGAATGTACACATATAAACAGTAATTTGAAACTCAGATAGCAGAAAGTTCAGAAACTGGCTTTCGATTGATTTGAGCAATGTACTCTGCAGGCTTCAGGATGCTGGAGGCTTTCAACCTCACTGACCGGACGTACGCTGCCGTCAAAGGCATCTCCATGGAACCAGGGTCCTTCAACAGTTATGTAACCTACCGGCTGCACAAGAACGCCGGCCTCTCCCAACCCACAAAGTAAGTCCAAGTTGACATTTATGAATCTCAGAATAACCCCCCCACACACATATACCTACCTACCATGTACTAGAGCTGGCTGGCAGTAATTATTTTTATAATGGCCAACCGGGGTTTGCTGTTGTGGGTCCCGGTTCGTGTGTTGATGTGTTGGGTCAGTCCCACATGTTGTTGCAGCCGGTGGAATGAGGTGTTACCAAAGACACAACAATTTCTGTTTGAGTGAGAGAGTGCCTCAGCAAATCCCACCCTCTTGCTCCACGGGGGTAGCCACAGAGGTCACGACCTGCAGATTATTCACCCGGTGTAACATCTCCAGGCACCACGAGGGCCGGGCGGATTTTGTCCAAACATCCACAGCCAGGCGATTCCTTTGTCAATTTGCCCATAATAGCTTTTGTTTAGTGCGTGTGTTGGAAGCCAAGTAAATGTGCACAAATGGAAACACTTTTTGAATTTTTTTTTATTTTTTTTAAATACTTCCAATATGTTGTGACTCTTTAGGGACTGTTGACATTTGTGCCAGATGCACGGATGAATAAATGGACTTTGTTTGAGTTTTTTTCCCCCACTTGCATGTGTACTCTGAGTCGCCTCGCTGCCTGTTTGCCCGGCAGTAGATGGTCAATAGTGATAGTCACCCCATAGCACTCACAGACGATGAGACATCAAATGAGGCCATTAGGGTTTCTAAGAACAGGCCTGTGTGGGCTGTTTCGTTCTGACTCAGCATGACATTAGGTTTATTTTAAGAGCAAACCTTGTGTTTTTTTTTTTATTATACCTAAACCTATGTGTTTTTTTTTTTTTACCATTTTACACAGGGCACACACAGAAAGTCTGACCTGTTGGAAACCTCCAGAGTTCATTGTCAAATGTGTTACAGCCCCAGCTTGAGTTTTTATTTAGACTCCGGAGTGTTATTTTTGCAGGGAGGTTCACCCAGAGGGTCTGCCACCGACCTACACGATCATCCTCCTCTTCCGTCTCCTCCCGGATACACCCACAGAGGCTTTCGACATTTGGCAGATCTCCGACAGCGGCAACAAACCCGAAGTCGGAGTCACTGTTGACCGTAAGACCCATTCCTACTTCTTCTAACCATAATAGCTGCCTGCCAGCTGTGAACATTGAGGTTTTCCCCTTCCCCCATCTCCATCATGAAACATCAGCATTAACTTAATGAGCTCCAGACCCCAGAGCTAAATTGACCTCTAGCAGTAATTAAACCCATACGCAGAAGCTACATACCTATGTATAGACATCCTCAGGATAGGCCAGTGCAAACAGCAGGCATTTACAGCATGTCTACACGGCAGACTGTCGTCTGACTGTCGTCTTTCAGTTACTCTCTGCACATCTAACATCATCTCCTGCTTATTTATCTCTTCAAGCATCCAGTAGGACAATCACATTCTACAACAAGGACACCAGGGGCGAGATACAGAGAGCTACATTCGATAGCGAGCCAGTGAGAAAGATCTTCCACGGAAGCTTCCATAAGGTAAATTTTGTTAGTAGTTAGCATGCTGCTAATGGGCCTCTCCATATGACGAGTCAGAGATTCCATTTTCAAGTACTACAGTCATTTCTCATTATTTGAGAAGTGAGTCAAATTTTATTCGATTTTCATGGCTTGGGCTATGAAATCTGCTATCTGGTTAAGCCACGATATTTAAGGTTCTTTTTTTTTTTAATGTAAGCTTTTTGTGTCGTGTAACTTTCTGGGTGGGCCTCCCAAAGCCTCACAGCTCTCGAGAGTAAGTCCAGCTCATGTGTTCCAAGTGGGCCAGTGAGTCCCGTGTCCCTGTATGCCGCATGTATACAGCCGTTTGCAGATGAACTGGCGTCCCACAAGAGGAGTATCCAGCCTAATGCGCTACCCTTCCTGAGCTCTCAGTAGCCTGGTGGGAGAAGCTATTATTAAAAACAGAAAGAAATAATGTGCTTTTTTTTGTCAAGCAGAATCAAAAAGTGAGCCGATGATGTAGGTTCAAATCCAGACAGACTCTTGATGTGAGAGACCACTGCTTAGGGACCAACATGGCTTCCTGGCCCTAGGATACGACGACAATCACAACCCTTAGCGAGCTGGAAGCATGACTCGGCCTGATTCCTCTGACTCAAGGCAGAGGAATCAGATGAGCTGCTGGAGACTATGAATGTCTTAGCATTAGTTGGCGGGCAGGTTTGGGTGACCTCCGTGACCCATTACAGATGGAAGTTTACACAATGCAGATTTACAATTGGTTTGATGGCGATTCAGTTCAGGTTCTAGTCTGCTGTAAGATGTCAGGATTTTGCTGGATTAATTTTTTCAAGTTTGTTTTGATTTATTCTATAAAAAACTTGTGTACCTAAAAATGGTTTTATATTTATTTGGCTCTCTTTGGCTTTGGTTGGAGGACTTGCAGTTTAAACTAATATACTAAGAAGGTGCTTCTAGACAGATTTTTTAAACCAAAGTGCTGAGTTCCTCATGCAACAGTTCGACCCCGGATTCAACACCCCACATTTCTCCTCAACCCATCTCCATCTTCTCCATCTTTATTAATAAGTTTATGTCCTAAGGGATGGATCAGGAATCTTTCCCAACAGCCAGGAGCGAGCCGCTAAAGCCAGAGAATGTTCTAGCTACTGTTTCCACAGTCTCAGCAGCAATGTCAGCCTCTGGGGGCTTCATCTTACCAAAATCGATGATAAAGTCTCGGACCATTCTGTTCAGGGGAAGGACCAAATGGTTTGAGAAAGAAAACAATTTTACTGGAATAGTGGAAGAACTCCATCTTCTAAAGGATTGAATGTATGTAGACCATAGAGCAAGATTAAAAAAACAATCAAGAGAAATATTTTCACCAGACTGTTAAAAATGTGCTGCCTTTGGTATGCGGTGCTTGGAAAAAATTGGGTCACTTCTGTAGGCATTGAACAGTTGCATCAAAAAGCATGTGCCGAGCCAGTCTGGGTTTTATTCCCAACATCCTGGCTCTCTCACCATTTAATAGGTTTCTGGCCTTGCTCTCCGTCTCCAAGTTCTGGTGGCTTTCACTTATGGGGAGGCTACTCCATGCCTCCATTCATACAGCACATCACCTTGGACTATGAACTCGATCTCGCAGCACCTAACTCGCTGATTTGCTTCCTCCGCCAAGATCCGTGACCCGGCGGCTGTTCTCGGGTCATCGACGGTATTGCTAATAATTGCAATGGTGGGAGAAAGGCTCGCCCACCATAAAGTCAGCAGTAAAGCTAAGGTCTGCCTGACAGAGGCATGGCTGAATCAGAGGGAGGGAAGGGGAGCTTCATTCACGTGGGGAATATCAAGAAACCATTTTACAAGCAGAATATTATATAAACTGGGAGGAAAACACCCCCTTCGTGGCAGTTGTTGGTACACTTCACGTCCTTCAGAATGAGATATGAGAGTCACCCCCGCCGTGCATAAACAAAGCAGAGCCAACTGGATTTAGCCTGTCAACCAGCATCTCTAATCCCTCCAGTTAGAATGGGCAACTTCTCCTCTCTGAGTGCTTTGGGAAGCCTGTAGCTCACTTAATATATTTTAAAGGCACTTTGTGTGTTACAAATTGGAGAGCGGTCTACCTTGTGCCGCTCTTTCAGAGCAGTTCATAGATTTAAAAAATGATCCTTTGACAGACCCCGCTGTGCGATGGGAGATGCTGGAAGATTCCTTGCAGGTGAATGCTGACAGATTCGCATTCATCTCCCATGGCTTAGTCAGGCTTCTCAAACCGAGATGTTATTTTTGGAGGTTAGTGAGGGGACAGAGAGAAGATTTGCCACCCCACAGAGGCTCGCGGTCCCGCTTTAACATGCCCAGAAAGAATGCGTGGACATTACCGTCGCCGCACGGCGCTCTGGCCGAAACATTTTGTCATGTCGGACTGCACAAACTCACCATTATCTGGAGAGGAGGTGTCGGGCCGTCAGACTTTCCACTTGTGGCTCGGCCACGGCCAGCATTCCCGTGCAATAACGAGAGCGAGGAGTGAGCGGATTGGAAAAAATCAAAGGGGCTCTTAATGTATGAGTTCTGGTTTTATTTGCTGGGAATCAAGGTGGGGGTGTGGGGCGGTAATGAACGGGTGTATTTTCCCAGGTCCTGGATTGGACATGCCGTAGAGTACTGAACTACTCCCTGGTCTACTGAGGAGACCCCAGGTGACATTATGTTGGGAGGTCCCAGAATTCCTTGAGAGGGTCCTGACCATTGTGCTCTGTGCTTTTTGTCCTTTTCTTATTTCTGACTTTGCAGAATAAGAAAAAACATAGTAAATCTTAACAGACTAAATTATTTTTAAATTTTATTTTCATCCCTCTGTGTGAAACGTTGTCATCGCTTGTATGAAAAAACTCCTGAATTCTTTTCGAGACTTTAGGCCAGCTATGGACTTGTCCTTTTCATATGGGACTTGGAAGGGGCAGAAATGCCAGCTTGCTGTTGCATGAGAACATAGACGCAAAAAGTCGCACAGTTTGACAAGTAGAACATCAAAGTTTTGAGCTGTGTAAGTTAATAATAAGAGCAGATAATCTTAAGACAGGACCCCAACTTCTGCAAGAAGTTCTCTGTTAGCACAGTATAAATTAGCCTTGTCTTACTATTTAATGCCCAGGGGTTGGTGCTGGACTTAGCAACCTGTTGCTTTAGCTGTAGTCAGAGATAATGTGGGGAGATGGTGCATCCACAAGGCCAAGCCAAGAACAATAACATGTAGGCGTGAAGAAATCATTGAAACCAGTCAACAGCAGCAGAAACAAAACCATATGGTGGCTGTTTCTGGACACCCAGAAGCCATGTAAGCGACATTAACAGCTGTGAACCAAGCATTCGTAACAAGAGGTCAACCAATTCCAGACTTGCTGCAGTCACATTGATAGCTAAGGGTGGGGAGGTCAGACTTGTCCTTAATGCGGAGGTGCAGTATATTCTCAGTAAATTAAGTTGCGGGATGGTTTCCCTGCAGATTTGCAGCATTACCACCTTTTATGTTGGAATTATATGACAATGACGCATCACCCATGCCATTTAGCATTTCTCACACATTGCGAAAGAAAGATAAAATGAGCGAGTACAGTATGTGCACCTTAATGATAACTTGCTACATGCTTTGCTACTGTGTTCTCACTGCTGAGATTCTCCACACTTTGGTGATGTAATCTCTCACGCCATTTGTCCCCTCCGGTTAAGTCACCATGAGAGAGCCATCGTGGTTGGTCAACCATGGCCTCGGTTGCCAGGGAGGTTTCCCATAATGCCGTGTGTGGTTTCCAGCACCCGTATCTCAAGCTGTGGTTTTGAAAAATGTGCCATAATTTAAAAATGTTAACCAACTGCATTACTGGTGTGCGACAGACACCCTCCCTCCTCAGACATTCCTGCTGTTCCTCAAAGTGCAACTGTTTGTAAGAGGAGCCTTTTAACGGTGTACCACGAAATGACATAATCGCTAGATGTGGCAAGGCCATTCTGGACAGACACCAGACGACATTCAGTATGAAACCTTTCTGTGGTTGAGATTTATGGAAAGGGCCTGTGTACTATATACCACATGTAAAGCGCCGTTACCGCATGCTGCTGGATGGGAGGGAGATGAATGAGGTACACTCTCAGTCCATAGTGCAGACGTATGTATTTTTCATCATGCTATGAATGGAAAAAAGTTGCTGACACAAAGTTTCCTGTTTCAATGTAACCACCAGTATTACCTTACAGTATGTAATAATGTACAATTAACTGCAACCCACAGGGACAACATTGGAGAGGATATGAGATTTTTTATTATTTTTTTTTTTTGCAATTATCATTTTCAAAGAGGAATAGATTGAGTGACATGAATGTCTGCTTTTGCTGGGAAACTCATCGCTCTGTGTGTCTGTCTCCGCAGCTGCACATGACCATCACTCCGAAGAGCGTCAAACTCAACGTGGACTGCCAGACGGTGGCCGAGAAGGAGATTAAGGAGGCCAGAAACGTGTCTGTGGATGGCACTGAGACCCTGGGCAAGATGAGGAATTCGAAAGGTTCAGCAACAGTGAGTAAAATCCCAGACATAAGGCTCAGGAGTCAAAGGCTCAGCTTCCAGTCCTTCTCAATGGTCCTTTCTCTTGATCCATTTGCATTGACTTGATACTTAGCATGTGCATTTTTTTGTGCGTGTGTTGTGTGCGCTGTGCTCCACAGTTCCAGCTCCAGATGTTCGACATCGTCTGCAGTGCAGGCTGGACCAGCAGGGACAGATGTTGCGACCTGCCATCGATGGTGAGAATTTATTTCATTGTCATAAAAACTGTGCTTGTGCCATCAGACGGTGTCAGCCTCTACATCAGTCTTAACAGCAAGGGTGCATATACAAAATAAAACTCCCAGGCTGGGTTCATCTAAATCGAGGAACAACCGCTAGTGGACAAATTCAGGTTTCCTGCTGTAAATCAGGGTGCGATTAGCATAGAATGTTCATCATTATTAATAAACATGATCGGCTAAATCATCGAGAAATGCTGCTGCAGTGCGTGGCACCCCTTCAGGATGTTCAATTTGATCATTCGTCGTCCGTTGGGATAAGTGACATTTTTGGAGAGAGAGGACACGGTGAACCTATCCCGTATGTGCATCAGCCTCTCGGTTTAAGACAGGAAGAGTCTGAAATACCCAGGAGATACCCTCTGGGAGCATGGAATTCTAATCAGGGAGGGTTTGGGCCACGAGGGGAGCTTGTCCGACCCAGCTAATTGCTATCTCTTCCTCAATTCCGCCATCTTTCACCATCAGAGAGATGAGGCGAAATGTCCCGCTCTTCCCCACTCCTGCACATGTGCTCAGGATAGCATCGGCCCTCAAGGACCCCCAGGACCTCCGGTAAACTCATCACACGTCTCCGTCTTGCTTGAACTACACCAGCCTTTTGGTCCCCAATGAAACTGTGAGAGTGTTGGGACTTTAATTCTGATGGGTTAGACAGATCAGCGTAACGTTACATGATAGCAGGGATTTTCTTTTCTTATTTGCATTTGAAATGCTCGCATTATGATTATGTAAGCATAAAACAACTGCAATTATCTGTGACATTAAACACAAGCTGCATTTAATGCTCTACTTCAGGTTATTTACCCAGGTTGTTTCCTAAGGGCACTATTAGCCTAGCGTTTGAATCATTACTGTGTTCATAAAGCTGTGAAGAAGTTTTTTTCCCCCAAAAAAAAGCAAACATTTCACTGGGAAATACTGTCTGACCGCTGCCGTGTTTCCTTGTGTCTGTAGGGTGGTCCTGGTACAAAGGGACCCCGCGGCGAAAGGGGAGACCTCGGCCCGTCTGTAAGTAGCTGCTGCCACTTTACATGTGCGTCTCACATCTTCTTGGTCACATGAACAAAAAGGCACATTTGGCGACGGCACAATTTCAGTGAAGCAAGTGCAGAAATTGACAGACGTGTCCCATAATTCCCAGAGTCAAAACACTTTAGCTGACAGCTACTATAAACTATAAAACAATTACGTTCCATTGAAGCAGCAGCTGTTGGCTTCCAATAGCTTCTTTTTGCCAGCAACAGGCTATTCAGACTAGAGGTTCTCTTGAGAAAATGGCATCGGGAAGTCAACTGCCTGGCCTTTAATTTGACTGTTTGCTTGTTTGTTTGCTTGTTTGTAGGGTCCCATGGGCCCGCGGGGGGAACTGGGCCTGCCAGGACCAATGGGGCCACCAGGCCCACAAGGACCCAACGGGTTGTCTCTTCCCGGTGAGCCGGTAGGTCACATGCAGAGGAGTTTCACTTTGTTTGTTTCCAGCCCCATCTCTCCTGTCATAAAGCACCAATTCAAGGGCCTGCATTTACGTTCTGAAGAGTCATTGGGCTTTTGGAACAACTGTAGCTAAAGGCCTTTACTGTCAGTATATCTCTGTCTGGAAATAATATCACGTTGTTTTAAACCGTCGTTTCATTTTAGCAGGGATACATAAATTAGCACACATTAGATTATCCCCAAGTGCAGATAAAGAGACGGGAACAGGCTTAACGTAAGCTGCTGATATTTATCTCTTTGTGATTTGTGACTGTATTTTTCTCTGAACTGAACAATTGCCCGTTCGTTGGTATTGTGCACCATTTACGTAATTAAACAGAAATACAATACTTTTTCATCTTTCTTGATTTACCACAGGGCCGCCCAGGACCCAAAGGAGACACTGGTGATCCCGGTCAACCTGGACGCCAAGTAAGTACAACATCGGAGCTTGGCGTTCGCTGAAAGGGAAACCAGAAGTAATACACAGTAAAAAATAGTTGTACTATTATGGATCCCTTCCACGTGGCAAGTTTTACTGGGGGAAAAATCTCATTTGTATTTAAGACACACACTGATATAGCTATACTGGCCCACAGAATAGTCAGATGGTCACAATGCTAAATCTGCCGCTACCTAGTACTCAAAAGACTTAGCCCTCTAATTTATGAAAGTATGTTCTACATAGTGCTGCTTTTGCAAATTAGGTAACATAAACTGTATAGATCTCAGTAGGAAATTTTGCTGTAATTTGGATAAATATGGTCCATGATAGGGGTGGAGGTGCATTATGGGAAATCTCAAAGAATCCGGTTGGATTTATAGCTTGCTGATTGCACCACAGAGAAATGACGCATAGAACGCTAAGGGAAGACATGTGCAGAGGGCCGCATGTAAATGTCAGGGGTTAGGGCTTACAGGCATGGAAGGGGAGTCCCAAGGCTACATGCCACCGCGATCTGTATTCGTGGGGTATCTGTTACCCCCGTTCATTTTCTCAGCTTTTAGATTAGAGTCTCAAGGAAATGGTGTAACGCAACAGTCAAAGGAGGCTCAGCAACTGGGAACCGTGTCTTTTGATATATAAGGAGCTACAAGCTTCTGTTTTCTTTCAGAGAGACATTTTACTCCATGTCAGATGGTTCCAATCTTTAGCGTAGAGATGAAAAGCAGACTGTTGGAAGCCTCGCAGTCAGAGTGATTCTCTAACGAGGACTATAGGGGGCAAGCCGAACTGTGGTTATGAAGCAACGCTCGTGTTGTGTTGTACAGCAAGGGGCTTAAACCAATTTCCCCTCGGTAACATTATTCACTCCGAATGAAGGTTGTACAGAAGGGTTGCTGTTGCTGTGGGAAGATGACATTGACAGGCGCCTATGGATAAATAATGATCTGCAGGCTAACTAAACTAAACCAGGCTAGATGTGCTTCATTTTTTGGTAGCTAGAACCAAATTTTCGGGGATAGGAGGAGTGCATGAGCATTAGTGCAATAAAACTTGTGAAACGTTTGGCCCATTCATTTCCTATATAGGTCTTTCTTAAGGACTTTTTTTAACACTCTTCTATCCTCCTAGGGTTCACCTGGACAAGCTGGTTCTGTAGGCCCGGTCGGACCAATCGGACAAAGGGTAAACCAACAGTCCCATTAGCTGATGCTTTACAGAAATGCGGGTTTTTTTTTAACCCCGAACTGGCTATAATGACATCATAAGTCATTAAAGTACAACATTATATATTTACTTATGGCCATGATTGTAGTACAATAAAGTCAAGTCATTAAATCAGTGGAGGCTACATTCATGAATGTTATCATTGGTTTGCATTAATGTAGGGACCCCCTGGAAAAGAAGGACTCGCTGGACCCAGGGGCCCCTCAGGTCCAATGGTAGGTAACCACTGGAAAAAAACAGGACACACTATCAGTGGTTTGTTTTTCTTGCACACGTGATTAATTCAGACCATGTGTCGCTAATAGGAAATGCATGCTGTTTCCCACAGGTCCGATGGCACAGTCTCGCAAAATAAACTCTAGACATCCTGAGAGCATGCCGGCTTTATCTCCTGCATCTTGACTGATTTGCGCGCACTATCATTCCTTCCCTAGGGTAGCCCTGGAGCTCCTGGAATGCCAGGACCTACTGGAAAGCCGGGGAAGCCGGGAGACACAGGGCACCCTGTACGTACACGTTTGTTTGGTGCTAAAATGACCCTGGAGGTATTTTGAGGATCCGAATAAGATGGGTATATGACTGACCCCAGCAAGCTGGATACATACAGCTTGTACCAGCCCATTGTTATCCTGAATATCAGAAGGTCAGCTTTGTGGACTGCAGATGGAGTATTAGATATTGGTGTTGTACTGTATATTAGCACATTTTCATATGGACTGACGAACCATGGCAGGAGGCAGATGTGTTACATTTCACCATTTTACAACAGAAAAAAATATACCTACAGTTATTTGTGCCAAAATGCAGGTTCTAAGATGGAACTGCATGAAGCTTCAATGGGAGTTACAGATACATACTTATGGAATATGGAAAGTACATTTCAAACTGAACAGCACCATGAGGCCATTTAACCGCATGTTAAAAGCTAGAATGAGTAGCTGTCTGGAGATGCCCCTTAATATATCAAATTACGATAAAAGAACAATGGATTCACTGTTGAGTTCTTTACTTGACTGTTTATTATATGGGTCACTATAATATGGTAGTCTACGAATGAATGGAAATCAGCAGTTCTATGCATTGAAACAAGTTTAAGTTCTGTTAGATCTTGTATATTTTTTTATTCATTGAGTGATTTATAGTGTCTACAATGGCTTTTCTTAAACGTTTGTTTCTTACTATAGGGAGCCATTGGCCTGAAAGGAGAGAAAGGCGAAAGGGTGAGTAACGCAGACCTGTTCACAAGGTATATTTTAGTGTCAGAGCAACACCTGTGCTTTTTGGTGTTAAAATACGTTCATGTTCGTTTTAGGGGGACTTTGCGTCTCAGAACATGATGCGATCCATAGCCAGACAAGTCTGTGAACAGCTGGTCAACAGTGAGTCGCCCAACGTTTGTTCGGTAATGAAGCGAGTACTATCACGGTTAGATCGATCGTTGGCTGACTGTGGTCCTCGCCGATGCTTTACTCAGGTCAAATGAGCAGGATCGACATGATGCTGAACCAGATCCCCAACGGTTACCGTAGCAACAGTCCTGGTCCTGTTGGGCCTCCTGGGCCGCCTGGCAGTACTGGGTCTCGTGGCGAACCAGGTCAGCCAGGAAGAAGTGGCTTCCCAGGAACTCCAGGGTTGCCTGGGCAACAGGGAGAGAGAGGTTGGTCCTTTTCCTACTTTTATACATTACTGCCTATTTCACATATAACGGACGAGGCATGTTTTTTAGTGTCTTGGATTTCTGCTTCCCGACTCTAATGAATAATTCAGGCCTGATGAATGTTTTATTCCTGCGGCCATTTCACAGTAACTGCCGTGAGTTATTCTCGATATTTTTGCAGCGCAGCGAAACGCTGATATCTCCGGCTCCGTGCATGAACACTTGCATATGTTCCTGATGTTATGGTCTACATCAATCTATCTAATGATACGGTCAACAACGACACGATGGCGCAGCGCAGAGCCTGAACACCAGGTTCAGGCTAAGAAAAAACTGGTTTTCTGTCTGTCTCACAGTTTCCACTTTCCAGAGCATTTCCAGTGGTTTCTGAAGGATGGAATGTTTCTGTTGAACGCATGGATGCATTAAGTTGTGGAGATACTGACGCCGCTTAACTGAAGAGTGGTTCTCTTAATGACTTAGGGCCACTTGGAGAAAAGGGTGAACGGGGTAGTCCAGGCACTGGAATCCGAGGACAGAGAGGCCCATCCGGACCACCCGGTGAGTGCTGTTCCATGAAAATCCTCACTGATACATGTTCTAAACTGAGGAGATGCCTGCTTAATGGTCGTGGAGAGGGTGGTGTTCTCCCGTTCATTTCTTTCTCACATATAAAAACCATTATTTTTTTCACAGCTGTTTCCAACATGCCGCATTAGTAAATCTGTCATAGGGCTTCTTTACGACGTCACATTCCTCAGCCGAGACCTAATTTTTTAATAGCTGTAATATCTCATTGTGCCGCTGAATCGGCGATCTCCCAGTTGAAATATTAGAACCCCCAGTTCTGAAAAACAGTGAGGCAACACGCACCTAGATGGATCGCGTGTTTCATTTGGGAAGGTAATAATCTGTCCGCAGTCTTTAATCGTCACATCTGATGGTTGATTATACCTGTTTGAAAGTCAGACATTTCATACAGTGACCGCCGCTAAAAAGCTAATTGGAAATGTGTCCAGCCATGTTAGCAAGAGTGCATGGAATTTTAGGCACCCTTGACCATGAATTAGTTAACCACTCCATATACTGCCGATTTGATTTCACTATAAAAATTCACACACATTTTACTTTTTTTGTAACCCACTCCTACACACAGCTTTCATTTTCTGGAAAACTTGGTCCATAAAGCGAAGTTATGACTTCATTCCTCCAAGGGGCTTGGGGCATTCAGTCCGATACAGTCATCCACCTTAATTATAGAACAGGCAGCCTACCCACAACCACTGGATCCCTGCGGGGGTATGCTTTATTCCACCGAGACTTGGAAATCGCAGTCGCTCAGTCATTGATGTCTACGGACCAATGGGATACGGCCAAATCCTCCTTTTTCCCCCATAAATAATAAGGAACATTGCCAGCAAGCGAGCACGCTGGTTCAGTTCTTTAGGTTTTTGCGTAGCCTTTCATACAATAGAGTTCCCCTGGTGGCTTCATCCACAGCACATGTGCTGCTGCGTTTGGGGAGCGAGAGGGGTGGCGGGGTGGGGGATTTCATATCCGCTGTATCCCGTCTAGACAGACTGGGGCAGGGGGTAGCTTTGCACAGATCTGGGTTTGTCTCCCCTTAATTGAGCAGTCTAAATATTTAAATTGCAGTGGTACAAACCAATTTTCCCTTCCACTTCCAGTTGGGATTGGATGGTGATGCCAGTGGATCTTGAGTGTTTGTTTTTCACCCCGGTTCCCTTTCCAGGCCCGCAAGGCGAGTCGCGAACGGGACCTACCGGCCCCACGGGCTCCTCCGGGCCTCCTGGACCCTCAGGTCGTCAGGGTTCCCCCGGCATCCGGGGTCCACCTGGTCCCCCTGGGTACTGCGACTCCTCCCAGTGTGTGGGCATCCCTTACAATGGACAAGGTTACCCAGGTAGGTCGCCGCATGCCCATGCGTAACAGGAGTAACACTGCGAAAATGTAACACTGTATGGAGTTAAAATATATAACGCGATTTCCTGTGACATTTACAAATTCCAACGCCTATCTATAGTACCTAGCTATGACTTAAACTTTGAAATGTATTGCAAGTAGTCAGTCTGACTAGCTACTATTTTTTTAAAAGAATAAAAAAAGAGGAAAGTTAGTTTTCGCAGAACGCTAACACGCTCTTTAACCTGTTTCAGGTTCGGCATAGTTCATTTTATAAGCCGCCTGTGCTGCTTTCACTTTGAAACCCGGCAACACAAACAAAAAGTCCTGTTTCTGTGCTCATGTGCTTATGAGGCGCTATGGATAACCACCATGGATATGATTAACGAACACGGCTGACCACCGTGAAGGGAACCGACTGGTACTAACAACACTTTTACAGCAGACATCATGGCCTTGTGGGCTGTTTGCATCTTGAGCCCATACAGCAAGCAGAAAGAGAGGGATATATAGAGAGAGAGAGAGAGAGAAACAGCTTCTCTCTCAGAAGGAGCATGTAAAACTACTAACAAGGAGGATTTATAACCAAGAACAACAGTGTTAACATGGTAAACATTTGAGATGAAATCTGTAAATAAACTAATTGTGCATTGTAAATGATTTTTGTTTTCAAATGAGTTAACATCCGTAATGAGCTTGTGCCTTATAACCTGCTGCTTGCTGAATGCTCCCATAACCTCCTCCTTCAAGCCTGATGTGACAAATCCACCCTCTGCTCGGTCCAGACTGAAGCACGCAGTGTTTGTATATTATAATCCTGGGACTCTTTGTCATACTATTTACTAAGATTTTGTAAGGTGCTTTTCTGTTTTTTTTTTTTTGTTTGTTTTCTTTGCTATGATGAATTTATTTCTAAAAGGTACTAAACACTACAGAATCATTCAGGGGTGACTTTTGTATCAAATCCCACGAGGGTATAAATTATGTTAGTCATTTTGCTTTTTTTATGGGAATGTGGTCGTACCTGAAAGTCTTTAAATGCTTAGTAGTCTGTTGTGTGATCAATACTTACCGCAGTGCCTTACTTGAGCTGAGGATGGTTACGGACACTGTCACCTGTCACGGCCACACAATTTGGCTTTTATGTAAAAGACTTGTATCCTAGAGTGGGATGGTACCACTGAGCAGCGCGGCCAAAAGCCAGAAGTGATAGTATTTCTGCATGCAGAGTTGCTGATTAAATCCATGTTCATTTGGCCAAAACGATATTTCCAACCAGACCGCTTCCAGCCCAGGCCTGAAACCTACGTAGTGCCAATCCCAGTGGAACCCTCAGAAGACTATGAAACAGAAATTCAGTCACAAAACCAGCGTGGAAAGCGGTCACTATCAAGAGGGAGATCCCAAAGGATAGCACCATAAAACAAAATCAAACAAAAAAAAACAAAACACGAGGATGATGCCGTTTTTTGCCGTCATTATTAATTTTCTATTTTCCACATATGCTTGCATTGAGGTAAATTTGCACCAGAGTGTGAGAACATACCTTGGGTAATGCGTGACTGTGGCGGTGGCGAATATCGGCCGAATTTGCGAGTCTTTCATTGAAAACCTGTGAGCTTGCTCTCTGTACCTTGAAGTGTCTCCGCTTGTAAAATAACTGCGCTAATGTGTTTACTACAGTCCTATGTTTAATTCAGTCGTGTCAAAGTTAGCATTCACATGGAAGGTCAGTGTGTGTTTCATCGTTAAGGCATCAGGCACCACGAGGTCTGGCTTCCACTCAGCATTCATCACGGTTCATCACAAATGTCTTCATGTAAAGTGCTATGTGTTATGTCACCATGACTGTATGTGGGGTAATTGGTCTGGGATCTACCAAAAAAAAAATTAAAACATCAATACTGCAGTTAATTTCCTTTTATTTTAGACTAAATATTTATCAGTTTTATTATACCAACTCACAGCTGATTTTACCAAAGGTGGAATTGCATGTCTGTGTTGTATATTTACTAAGGGTTTTTAAAAATCAGAATATATAGTTGTTGTTTTTTTTTTTGTTTTTTTTTAACCGATATTCAGCGCAGTTGGAATTGGTTGGCAGCTCTATGGCTATAGAATTGCCGTTTTAACTGCAAATTGTGAATTTCACAGCCGTATTTTCTTATTTATTTCTGAAACAGAAGAGGCATTTTTCAATAAAACTACTGAAAATTGTATCATCTGTGTCCATTTCACATTTGTAAAACTGTAACAAAAAAGAAAAAAAGACAACGAGATAAACAGGGAAAAAAGAATTGGTGACATGCAATGCAGACTGTGAGTTTTGGGGATTGTCAGCCGAAAAGTTGTATTAAAGATGAACCATACCTACTTGACTGGCAGCTGGTCTGCTTATTCTGTACACTCAACCATGGCTGTTGGCGTCCGTGCAGATGAACCTGCTTCTTGTTGGTCAGTTAAGTAAGACCATGTCCACATCTTTATTTACTTTTAATATTTTGGATCCTTGTAGTATATGATACTCTGTTCATGGTTCCCATCCGCAAAAAAAGAATTGCCTGTCATCAGCGTCTTCTCAAAACACATTGGTTCATGCAGTGGAAGAAAAATAAAATGAACCTCATTGTTTTTTTTCTTTGTCTTGTTGAATGGAGATGAATATGAACTTGGGAGAAAACCAGTTTGTAAATTCAAAGCCTGGCCTTCATATTGAAAACGAATGCAGCACAAATCACTCAGTGCTAACCTAACACTGCAGACCTAACACTAAAGCTAATCACAAAATACACTGATACCAGTAGAATTATTAAACATTTTAGTAATACATTTAATTCAAAACAAAAAACATGGTTAGTCGCATAAGGATTTTGACGTATATTCAAACATGCTTTTCCTGACAAAAGGCTGTCTGAGAGGGAAAAAAGTATTCTTCATTAAATATTGTTAGGAGGCAAATGAACATCTTTAAAATGTTAAACTTAATAGTGCACTACTGTAGTGACCCACCCTGTTCCACTGTGATCGGCTTGTGATTTAGTTGGGTGTGGGAAACATCATTTCACGATTAATTTAAAATGTATACAAGCCTCAGTTTTCAGAACAAGTTCCTGCAACATTACGTGTTGACCCGTCCTTCACCCAGAAACATCCAAGAACACTTTAACTTCAGATTCCGTGAAGGTGGACACGTTCAACTAGACCTTTTGAAAGCTCATCCTTTGAAGTCCCTGTTGATGGTAAATGGTACAGGGTTTTCCTGAGGTAAAACATGCAGAAAATGCAGAAAGTCTTTGATGGCAACAAAATTACAGCGCATGCCAGGGGTGGGTGGGGTAGATGAAGAAAAACATTAGTGTCGCGATCTGCCTTTGTGCTTCATTCGTCAAAAAAATGTGTATCGTTAATGAATCCACTCAAATATAAATCACAGTAAGAAAGACTTTTATTGACATTAGAATATTTAAAAGTATATTTTAATGCTTAGTAGAACAGAGTGTTTTATCACAAGTTTATTACCAGAGTATTCCCACAAAGATATGGGTGGCAAGCTTTTAGACTCACATCAACTGCAGGCAGATTAATTCAGTAAAAAAAAATACAATTCTTTGTAGTCTTATGTCACCAGATCTTACCGATTTAATTATTCCTGGTAAGTGGAAGATAGTAAAAGGATAATTAGCACAACTTATAATACTGTTAGGCCCTAAACGCATTGAATAGGGGTCCAATTTAGCACGTCGCTGACAAATATGCTAATAAATATGCTAACAGCTTCATATCACACAATAGTAGCTACAGACTTTACGTATTTAAATATGTAGCCGACGCTGACTTCGCCGCTTCACATGCATTGTGTTAAAGCACAAGCAAACCACAGAAACCATGTCAACACTGTCACCCCTCAATCCTTTAGTATATGTAGCGGAGAGCAATGAAATCACAAGCGTGACATACCACTCAGGTCATGCCTAAATTAAAACACGAATTACCTGTCTTCATAGTAGGTGAGGGGCGAGTATTACATTTGACATTTAATGTGTTTTTACACCTCGACATTAATTGAGCCAAAGCAGGAGATCAATGCCCTCAGTTCCAGTCTTTACTGCCAACTGCCACGTGTTGCTGAATATGCCCTGCTTGTAAGGGAATTCTCTACTCGTGGACCTCGGCGTTTCTTGAAGGGAAGGAATTCTGCGCTTTAAAAGGTTCTCTCCAAGACCCGTGAGTCACACGACCCAGGTCCCCCGGCAGGATCACGCCGTCCGCGAGATGCCAGGTGCTTGTCGCTTTGCACGTATGCCTCATACCTGCCGGGCGGGCTGTAAAAAGCCCCTTTCAACTCAGCCATTTCCGTAAATAAATAAATCAGCCTTAATGTACGTCTCTGCTCCTCTCGAGTGGTCTGTTCTTTTGCAGACCGGCACATACGTGCTGGTGTAGAGCTCATCTCAGAACCAGTGCGGGGTGTTGGAATGCTGATGTATTTCCCTCCAATAATGACATTATAGCCAAGCACTTCTGACGAAGCATCAATGGTGCAAGTGTCTCAGTACATTAATAGCAGCTCAGTGTTTGTATAATGTCTGTGCGTTCTAGGAAGAACCTGCTAGAATCCGTAACGTGTAAGTCATGGTCACCAACTGTCACGCGTCTGGCGTGACACTCACATTTTCAGACTCTCACGCTCATGCAAGAAATCTTACAGTAACTCTCCATTATTCCATTATAAACCTAAAATTAGCTACATCAAAAGCTCTGGGGTAATTTGCAAATCCTACAGACTAGTGATTAAACTGTTACATATATATATATGTGTGCAGATGTGTCTCGAATTGAAAATCTCACTCCAGCCAGCTGAGCAAAGTTGGCAACCCTGATAAGAACACAGGTTCTGCACAGCCAACTACAGCTTTGTTCAAAGCAGACGGACCTGGTGGACTCAGGCGAAAGGCTATATACTGTACGTGTGACGCGACGCACTTTCCTCACGCGCATCGTGCTGTCGTGCTGGCAACTGGCAGGTTTAACAAGGTCAACTTCAGGCGTGCCAAAAAACAAAGAAAAATCCTTTGAATTGCACTTACTTCCTCCATTTTCTTTTCCAATGACTAAAGTGAGGTGAAATAATTCCAATTATTAAGATGAATGGTGCATAGTTTGAACAAAAGGGAAAGATCTGGGGTCACATACGAGCACAATACCGTATGCAAACACACAGAACCTCGGTGAGTTCCGATACCATTCTGGCAGCACCCACAGGTCACCATACTGTACGGAGTCTCTGAATCACATTCATTATTTAATCATTTTGGCATTTGAATAATTGCATGATGGATCTTGCGTGCGATTGCGTGACGAATCCAAGAAGATGCTTATTAACAAAGCAAACACAGTCCACGTTTTCCTGTTCACTTACACTTTTTCCTAGCAAAACATCGCATTAATGATTTAGCTGAGTCGGTCCATCCATCATCCAGATACTGTACAGGGTCGCAGCAAAGCCTGGAGCCTATCTGGGAAGCAGGGGAACACCCTGGACAGGATGTCAGTACTTCACAGGACACACGAACAATCACACGCTGCGTGTAATTTAGAGATTTACCTAACCGTATGTTATTGGACTGTAGGAAAGAACCTGCAGAAAACATGCAAACCGCAACCCTGCAGGTGTGAAGCTATGGAGCCATTAGCCTAGCTGCTGTGTCGCGACTATTGCACCTCTTCTTGTGCGTCGTGCCAAGTGCCAAAATAGCAACACTCTTCAACCGTTTCTATATAAAGGAGTGAAGGTATTTCTCGTAAGATCTTGAGATACTTGGCACCTCGATGTCATTAACGCATGAAATGCAGTATTTTGTGGAATCACAGGGGCTCAGCAGGCAAGGATGCTGTGCCTGTGATCGCAAGGCTGCCAAAATGATATCACCCTTGGGGCCGCTGCCATTCGCTCTAGGGGCTGGCAGACTCCGGCTTTGCACTTCTACGTCTCTTTGGATAAAAGCATCTGCTACATAAATAAAAATGTAAATTGCATGGGACCGACATTATAGAGAAAAATGCGGCCTGTAGCTGAGTTTTCTCACCATACATCAGGGATTAGGAATACTTAGCCTTCGTGAAAGCGAGTATAACTGTGTTCAGTGTTTTACTCTAATTTTTTTTTTAAATATGCTTTGAAGGGCAGTTTCATGACTTACTCTTTGTCTGCATTTATTGCAACGCCATTCATCGCATGCTGGTCTGCCAGAATCCGCAGCTTTCGAACTGCATCTCTAATTATTCTGTGGCAACTGTTTTAACTGGGATATTTTCCAGTGATTGTTCTAAATAAACTTAAACGGCTCCAGCCCTTCATCTATATCATCTCTGAAGTCTGGTTTATTGTCAAAAAAGCGTCACCCCATTGTAAATGTACACACATCTAACACAGTGTACAATGGCAAAATGAAGACAGAGTATCTGCTACAAATACTCATATATGTAAAACGCATGCAGAAAATCACTGCATACTTTAATAGTCCTGGTTTTTGAATTTGCATGTCACCTCTCAGTGGGTGTCCTGCTGTTTAAAATGTTGAAAGACTACTTTACTGTTTTAATTACAAACCGTAGTTATTTACATGCTTTTGCAAGTCAAGGTTGCATGTTGTCATGACAACTTTGAGAGAGCAAGAACAGAGCGTATATCAGAATTCTGTGCAGCTGAAATAATTTTCATTGAGCAGTCTAGCCCAGTAGTTTTCACAGGGTCTAAGGGATACTACGTCAAATTCAGGAGAACAAGCATACAAAATGAAGGTCAAAATGTTCCGTCAATGTTGTGATTTTCTGTCCTTCATTTTACTTCAGTCAGAGGAGCTTAGGTATTAACAGGACGTATGACTGATACTTCAGTGACAAGTAAAGAACAATTTACAGATGGTAAAAATACCAATAGACTATCATCATTTACTTTTCATGACATAACATCTTCAGTGGGTTTGACAGGTATAGTATCAGTCTTCAGAGAAACATGGCATCACTCAGTCAGTGTCTTCACGGCACCCAGAAAAGCCACGTTCAGAAAACCACGCTCTTTGCCGAGTAGCATCACTGGATTCTTGCATCCTTTGCAAAACATTACGTTGGAAAAACGATGTGTAATCCTTTAGACAAACATGCTGAGCCGTACGGTAAGTTGGATTAAGGCTACTGCATTCTTTCCCATAGCTGTGTCCATGTGAGCTGTGGTCTGTCCTCTACAGATGCCAGAACACAAAGCAGTACTGTTCCGACATCTTCAAAGCTGATTCATCATGTCACTATACAGTTTGGACAGCATTCTTCCTTCCACCACTGCTTCCAAGGAGTCCAGACTCGGTCCTGTGATG